ATCTCGATGGACCTCTCTCTCCCTTTCCCTTGCTTGCGCGCGTGCTTTTTTTTTTCTTTTCTAAAATAAAAAAGTATCCATGGACCAAGGATCAGATACTACGGTTGATCGTGTAGCGGGGAGGATCTGATATGAAGCGGATGGAAGCATATACTACACTTGATCGCGTGGGGGGGAGGAGGGGGGGGCACATAGTTAGGTTGGGGTTCTCTCTCTCTCTCTCTCTCTCTCTCTCTCTCTCTCTCTCTCTCTCTCTCTCTCTCTCTCTCTTTTGTTTTTAAAAATAATAACATTCTCGAATCTCTCGATGGACCACGGACCAGGTACTACGCTTAATCGTGTGGGGGGAAGATGGGATATGAAACTGATCGAAGCAGATACTACACTTGATCGTGGGGGGGGAGGGGGAAGGAGACCCATTGTTAGTCAGGTTGTGCTCTCTCTCTCTCTCTCTCTCTCTCTCTCTCTCTCTCTCTCTCTCTCTCTCTCTCTCTCTCTGTGTCTGTGTGTGTGTGTGTGTGTGTCTCTCTTACTCTCTCCCTCCCTCCTGTGTGTTTTGCATGTGCGTTTAAACCATATTGATGGACCTCTCTCTCTCTCTCTCTCACACACACACACACACACACACACACACACACACACACACTTCCGTGTGTGCGTGCATGTGTTTGTTTTTTTTCTTGTCTAATGGACCACGGATCTGATATGAAACTGATTGGAGCAGATACTACACTTGATCGTGGGCGCTCTCTCTCTCTCTCTCTCTCTCTCTCTCTCTCTCTCTCTCTCTCTCTCTCTTATGTAGTGTTTGCAGTAGAAGTTGTTTTCAGACCTGATCTCTCCTGGGGGTAGTTAGTTTGATTGGAGGGTGTGGGTCGTCATAGCAGGGGATTGTGCAGGTAATCATAACATTGTACGGGAGAGTAGCAAAGTCGTGCGTTGTAGAGTTCTCTCTCTCTCTCTCTCTCTCTCTCTCTCTCTCTCTCTCTGGCGCACGCGTGCGCGACTGCGTGCGTGGGCATTACTAAGCGAGGCTGTTTCGTCGGACTTCCACCAACTCATCAGGAGGTTGAACCCCGACAGTCTGCCCACATGCCGTGTCTGTGTGTGTATCCACATGCCAAGTCGAGTGTAGTAGCATAGGATAGGCAAGTAGAAGTCTATAGGACAGAGTAGAGTAGCATAGGGGTGGGTCTTTTCCACGCGGTGGAATTTGCCCATACTGCCACCCAAAAACCGTACACACCGCCACGAAAAAGTATTTACAACACGGGCAGCCTATGGGAACCCATTTGCCCGAACACAAAACCCCGCCGGTAGTTACCGTGCCAAGAAACCACCAGTAGTTACCACGGTCCTCTCCAACAGGCACATAATCCGGGCCGTCGGGCCCAAGGTACCGGGTCAACGACCTGGATTGATGCGTGATCTTAAGATCTTAAGATCGCACCGATACAGCGCATCGATCCGGTAGGACCCGACGGCCGGGATTTCAGATTTGTTACATGGTTCGGTCGATCTGGGCCGTGGGCCGGTAGGACCGACGACGGCCCGGATTTCAGATTTGTCATGTTAGCGATTTTAATAGTGTAGGGACAACCCGGGAGATTATGTAGGGAACTATATAACTGCATACTTTCAGGCTCAGAAAACGTCAACATGTGTGCGAGGCTAATTAATTAAACAGACATGGTAACCAAAAGAAACCGTTGTTCACATGCACAAAGCCCTTACTTCAAAGGTTTCTCAGCCACCAAGACCTGATTGGCCACCTCATCTCGGCGCACTTTGGCTTGCTGAGCTCTCTCCTTTGCACTGACAAAGAGTTGCCTTTGTGCATCATAGTGGAGCCAAGGCAGCTTCTTCTTCATAACATCCACCTGATTGGCAAGAAAAAATCCATGCACAATCCAACCACATGAGTTTAGATACATCTAGATCCAGAAATCCCAAGTGACAACCTGGTCCATAAGAATCATACCCCCAAGGACTGTGTGCACACACACACACACACTCCATACACATCTCACTCATACACCCACAAACACGGACGCACACATCTTCCAATTATGTCGCTTAAAACCTACCATCATCCAAACTGAGATCAAGATCGAACAAGCCGAGAAATCGACGGAGGCAGGACAGTATATTGCCAAGCCCCAAAAGGCTTTATTCACGTAGACCTTCTAAGGCATGGCACTTGAGCCCATCAATCCAATAGCTATCAGCTAAGGACTCCTGATATGCTATACTTGCTGGCATTCAAACTGACATCCCAACTGATCCTACTGCAGTTTGTAATGTGAACAAAGCTGTGAAATTAATATGCTGCAGTGCACACCCCGATGGCCAGACACCCAATCAATGTATTCAGATAAAGCTGGCCAGTCTACATTTGGAACAAAAAAAATGCTTCTTGTATTGAACTGCCGGTACACAACCCCAGTCTGCACTTTATCAGCCACAGGACCTCCTCCGTGCACGCACGGATTCGAACCGGCGCCCTCAGCCTCAAGAGCCGAGTCTCTTAACCACTACAGCCATGGCACGGTGTACAAAAGTGGATCCATGCCGGTCGTGATATCCACCCCACCCCTGCATGGCTGTAGCGTCCTTCAACTCACACACACACACACACACACAACACCACACAAGGCATCCGCCACACAAGGCATCCGCCACACAGGCGGAATAGTCGTACACTCCGCTCTCATCCAGCACAACTGCTTATCCAACGTTTTATCCATGGGCCGCCACATCCAGGTATAATTTCCGGGCTGGTTACCTGGTTAGAGTACAGTCTGCACTTTATCAGCCACACAACCCCAGCCTTGTAGAAATTTGCTCGTCACCTACTCAGAAAGTTTTGCCGCTCAGTCCTACCAGACGACAATGGCTGGCAGCACTAGCCAAAAAAGAAAAGGAGTGTGCCGCTGGCGGTTCGGAAAAGTTTGGCGTGCAGCGCATCCCCTCCAGGCCCGGCTGTACAGGTGGTTAAGGCGGGCAGAAGAGGGGGGGAAGGGGAAGACCTGTGAAATCTTGGCCGATTCAAAAAGAGGCAAGGATCCAAAAAGAAAACAGTTCTGACTGTGCTTTGTCTGACGAGCCAGAATCCGGCATTATGTTCCAATTCCATGAAGAATCATCGAGCTGCGTTGAGGAGGTCCAGAGGGGTATCTTAACTTTTGTTTTCTATTTTATTAATGTCCCAAATTTATTAAAATTTTCAAGGTCAACGTCCACCGTAACTTGCTTACAATACAAATTGACACAACGATGTTTTTCCAGATTTGTAACCTTTCTTTATCAGTTATTACGAATATTTCATGATGGAGCTTTCCAGGACCAGCCTAAGGGGGTACCCACGTTTTCCCTCCCCCAATATTTTGTGCTGGAGCTGTCCAGGACCCTGTGTGACCCCTCTCCCACCCCCCTTCCACCCAACCCCCAACCCCCAGCCCCACCCCCAGCCGGGGTAACAAAAGAACTGTGAGATCAGTATCCTCAACCAAGCATCGGATCTCATGGCTATGTTGACTCCTCGGAAAGAAAGAAGGCTCTGAAATTTCCAAGCTGTTTCAGTTTGACAATATGCAAACTGATGCAGATGGCCGCTACAATTTTAAATAGTGTAAACTTGCTACAAACACATGGGCTTGCAAGGAATTTGAGCGAGCGCAATAGACAGAAATCCAAATTGCAAAATCACAATGTAGCCCAGATAGTCATGTACCAAGCAGAGAGCACAATGCACCAAGATACCATCTAAATAAGACCAATACAATGAACTCGTATGTCAATGTGGACACTCTCTGGCCACACTAACACAGTATCCAATGTCGCTCCTGCTGATTGGCACCCATCGCCCAGTCTACGCTACTCAGCCTATCTACGCCTATCTACATTCACGCAACCGGATCACTTTGAAGTTACGTGACGTCATCACCAATGCAGACCACCAGCATACACCACGTACGTTCTCTCTCCTCCCCTCATCATACCTTGTCTCCCCTCTGCATATGCCTCCTACCTGAAGACCAACATCACCAGCATGCGCCCTAGCGGCCCGGCTATGGCCACCGTGCGCCCGCTGCCACAGCAGCACCCCTCTCACCTCTTGCGCCCGCGTGCGCGTCCAGCCTGCCTGCTAGCGTAGCTACCGCATGCCAAACAGCAGCGCGGCCCCATTGCCTGCTCAGGCCAGAATGCCGTTCCCCTGGACTTACACTTTCCTATATGGAAAGCATGCCCTCCCGCTGGCTGTCCTAGGCCTGGTGTGTAGGGGCCCAGTAGCTTCAAGTTGGCCCAAAGTGTCTGGACCCAGGCCCAGTTTCAGATACTGGTTTGGGCCTCGTGCAGTGAGGCACGTCCAGGTAGCCTTCCAGGCTGCCAGTCTTTGCTACATTCTCATTGGTAGATGTGTGACGACAACGCTGCATTCTCATTGGTCCACGGCCGCTGCGTGATGTGTCGGCGTGTGGCCAGGATGCAACCTCCTGAGCCCTGGCACTGTACAGCACAGCTGTTGCTTCTGGAAGGAGCCACAGGAGGCTCACGTTGCTCTGTAACCAACTGGGGTGCTGCAACTGTGATACCCCATATACGAAAAATGTTGAAAAAAGGCCTCTCATGGATGTACAGGCCCGCCTTCACTTAGGGCGGGCACGAGGCTTGCTGGGGGGCGCAGCCCAGAACATTTGCTTGCCCGTAGAAAGGCCTTGCGAGGGCTCGTTCCTCGCAGGCTGCACAACAGTCAAAGAATAACCGCAGTGACTCACATCAGATTACATTAGACAGTGACTGACGGTCATTTCAAAATTGAAAAGGCATTGCCTATTTTTGCGAAGTTGACGCAAAAAGCTTTGGAAAATCCCAAAAATATATCAGACACGAGACTTACATGATGGAGGAAACTAAAGAACAAAGGCTCAAAAGGGTACCAAAAATGCACTGCCGGAGTACGAGACTAAGATCACGGAGTAAGCTGAAACCACTAGTACCTCCGCCAGGCAAAAGAAATTTGGGAAAACTGGCAGTTTTCCAAAAATTCCGAAAGTTTTCGGAGCCCCGCGGAGGGTCAGCAAGCTTTTAGTTTGGGGACTTGCGGGCCCGATTGCAAAACAAAAAAAGGAGGAAGAAGCAGCAGAGTCGAAAGGGAGGAAGTCGGGGAAGGCCGTGAAGGAAGTTTGCTCACACTGATACTCCAAGGAACGCATCTACCAGAAACTTAGCTACTTTCATTATTGGTTGTCTTTGTTTTTTTCTTTTTCTTTTCATCCTCTGTTTGTGCCCTGCCAACGAGGCAGGGCGCATTACACGGATAGCTGACAACTCTGCAACTTAGGGCACAATCTCACTTGTACTCTATATTCTGTATCCAGCTGCTTTCACGTCCATATTCTTCTTTTTGCTGCTGCCGTGAATACAGCTCATGAAGTAAGGGCCGTCGGAAGGGCATACTGTCATATGTGCCCCAGATTCTGTACCCAGCTGCTTTCGCATCCAAAGAGTATATGAATTTTTTTTTTCGTACTTCGTTTTTCTTTGGCTCATCCCGTGAATACAGCTGCTTTCACGTCCATATTCTTCTTTTTGCTGCTGCCGTGAATACAGCTCATGAAGTAAGGGCCGTCGGGAGGGCATACTGTCATATGTGCCCCAGATTCTATACCCAGCTGCTTTCGCATCCAAAGAGTATATGATTTTTTTTTTCGTACTTCGTTTTTCTTTGGCTCATCCCGTGAATACAGCTGGGGTGTAACTGCCCGT